GACGAGACTAATGTGGTATTTGTTTATTGACGAGACTGATGTGGTATCTGTTTATGGACGAGACTAATGTGGTATTTGTTTATTGACGAGACTGATGTGGTATCTGTTTATGGACGAGACTAATGTGGTATTTTCAATGATTCTCAATCAGGTCATCTGGACAGTTTCTTTTTTAAAGAGACGTTTCACCCTCTATCCAGAGGGCTTCATCAGTCTCAGGAGTTCCAGTGAACTTTTTCCCACCAAGCAGTAAATTCTTAAGTGGACCGACAAGTCTGCTGGAGCTAAGATGGTTTCTGGGGGCCGTCCTGTTCCCCGTCGACTCCTCCCAGGCAGGCAGCCACAGCCAAAGGGGTTCAAGGCAAAAAACTGTCCAGATGACCTGACAGAATTATTGGATTTGATACATGGATGATTATGAACTTAATGTGGTATTTATTTATTGACAAGACAAATTTATTTATTTATTGACGAGACTAATGAGGTATTTATGTATTTCAGGCTCTTTTAAGATCCCAGCCTACACAGACGCTCCGTTTAAATCCAATGAAAAGTGTCCGGTGGTGATTTTCTCCCATGGGCTTGGTGCCTTCAGGTACCCCCCCACACACACACATGCACACAAAAAACACGCGCGCATATAGTTTGGTCTTTCATTCTGCTGCCATCTTACTTTTTGTTGTTGTTGTTCTTCCATACTTGAAGTTGGGTTCTGTAGAAAAATCCCGAACAATTAAAATGTTCCGTTTGAAAAACTGTTTCATTATGACAGGACTGATAACAAGCTAACAAGCTAACAAGCCATTCTGAATGCAGCATTCTCTAAAACGAATAGTTAGTTTTTAAGGAGCTCCAGTCTCCAACGTTTCTTAGTGTTTAATCCAAACGTTGTCTTAGAAACCTTCAGGCCACTGTCAGTTTCACTTGTTGAGAGACGGGCAGTGATTTTTGCAGTCAAATGGACAAATTTGAAGAATTAATGTGACGTCATGACCAGCTGTTCTTTTTTTTAGCACTTGGTAGTGACACACAAAGATGTTTGCTAGTAGTTCTTTTTGTGCTGGCTGTCTACATACAACAAGACGCTAATGCTGTTAGCATTTAGCTGCGTGAGAATTAAGAGTGTAGATTACTTGAGCTGTTAGAGACTAAGCATACTGATTTGAAGAGTGTGAGGCTCAGGTTTGTTCAGCAGGTCAAATGTGGGCCGTCTTTATCCATTTTTTATCTTTTATTTGTTCTGGAGTCTGGTCGCAGGTGCAGCTTGAGCAGAGACTTTTTTCCACAGCTTTTCAAAACCAGCTGAGAGACTAAGTCTTTCCAGCATGTCCTCCCCCAGGGTCTCCTCCTAGTTGGACATGGCTGAGACACCTCCTTAAGAAGGCATCTAGGTGGCATACCAGACACCTGAACCACCTTAACTGGTTCCTCTGGATGTGGAGGAGGAGCAGCTCTAGTCTGAGTCTCTCCTGATAACTGAATTTCTCACCCTCTCTCTAAGGGAGAGTCCAGCTACCCTCAGGAGATCATTTATTTTTCAACACTTTCATCTGTGAGCTCGTTCTTTCGGTCATTACCCAAAGTTTGTGACCACAGGTGAGAGTAAGAACCAAGTGGAAAACGGAGAGCTTCATCTTACAACTCCGCTCCCTCTTCACCACAACGGATCGGCACAGAGTCCACAATACTGCAACTGCACCAATCTATCAGTTGATCTCACGCTTCATGTTTCCCTCACTCATGAACAAAACCCTGAGATACTTGAACTCCTTCACGTGAGGCAGAACCTCTCTCCCAACCCTGAGAGGACAGTCCACTCTTTTCAGATGGAGGACCACGGGCTCAGACTTAGAGGTGCTGATTCTCCTCCCAGCTGCTTCACACTCGGCTGTGAACCGCTCCAGTGAGAGCTGAAGACCACGCCATGATGACGCTAGCAGGACCACATCTTCTGCAAAGAGCAGAGACAACCGAACCAGACCCTGAACTGGGCTGAGAAATTCTGTCCATAACATTTTTAAACAGAATTGGTGACAACAGGCAGCTCTGGCAGTCTGACTCTCCCACTACTGGGTCTGACTTGCTTACACCAGATTCACACTGTTTGTAGAGGGACTGAATGGTCCCATAGCAACAAACCCCAATCCCATACTCACAAGCACCCCCACAATGCATCACTGCGGACGGCCGAATGCCTTCAGGTTCCTACAACACACTTCAGCGCTTTGGGCGGCTGTGGCTGAGTGGTTAGAGCAGTCGTCCTCCACTGCGAGAGTTGGGGGTTCGAATCCACCAGCAGTCACATGTTGAAGTGTCCCTGGGCAAGACACTGAACCCCTCATAGCCTCTGATGTGTGTCCCATCAGTGTATGAATGTGATAAAGCTCTGATTAGTCTCTTTAGAATGATTTGTTCAATTAGCTTTGTAGAGATCTAGTATAGAGCTGTATGAATGGGTAAATGAGGCACAGGTTGTAGTGTGAAGTGCTTTGAGTATCTTGATCTGATAGAAAGGCGCTGTAGAAGTACAGTCCATTTACCATTCAGCGAGGTTAAAGAGCTGTGACTAATGGGGGTGCTAGGATGGGCGAGTGTGATTGGAAAGGGGGTTATTTATAAAAAAATAAAATAAATATTGACAAATCCGAAGAGTGTTTCTGCCTAAAATGCCAATCCTTCGTACATTTCTGTCAGAATGCTAAACTGATGGCGTTGTAAAGGTTTAAATATTAACATTGACCCTTATGAAATTTGGGAGATTGAAGTTGTTTTAAGGCGGCAGTGATTCACTTTAGTCTTAGTTGTGTTCAGACTAGCCATTAGCTCATCAGTCCAGTCAGATTTAATCTGTTTCTCCAAACTGAGCTTCTTCAAAGGCCTGTCTACAGGTCTTTAAGGTATAGTAAGGTATGGTTCATGCCTTTTACACAGAACACCACTTTGAAACGGACAGATTCTCTCTTCAGTTTGTTCCTGTGATCTAAACTGTGATTTGTGTGACCGTGGTGTTGCAGGACTTTGTATTCAGCGATATGTGCAGAACTGGCCTCACAGGGTTTCATCGTAGCGTCCTTGGAACACAGGTGAGCTTTTCCTTTTTTACACTGTTCTTTACGTGCACACATCTGGATTAAGCCTGTCCAACAGTCACATGGATCTGATTTAACACAAAAACTAAAACTTTACTTTGAGGAAAGCTGAATGTTAGCTGAGCATTAGAGACAGGCCTGTCTCTTGTGCAAGCGGCTGTTTATCTGTGGCGTAGGAGTGGAAAGGCTGCACAGACAATGGTACGAACCAGGTCATCACATTTCTTTTCAGTATAGAGACAAGGGTATGGAGAAGAACAGAAAGGTTGGCTGTGGCTGGGACGACATGTGAGTCATGTTATTCAACTGGGTCAGAGTTGGTTTCAAAGAGAAGCTATTAATCCAGCCCCCAGTACGAGCTCAGTTTGTCTCAGGCTGTGACTGAAGTGCAGATCTCAGAACCAGTTTCTTTGTAACAGGATGTTTCAGTGGATTCTGAGCAACCCAAAGCTTTCTTAAAAGCATAAAGGAAGTTATGGCAGCTGTAGTGGTAGATAAAAAACCTCAAACAATGCTCCAAAGTTCAAGCTCAATAATCCAGGTATAAAATCCAACAATGTTCAGTCAGGTCATCTGAACGGTTTCTTTTTGTTTTTTTGCGCTGAGACGTTTCACCCTCCATCCAGAAGGCTTCATCAGTCTGAGGAAACCCCAAACAAAACTGCTTCTCCCCCAGCAGCTTACTACAAAGTGGAAAAAAACAAATATGTTGGTGCTAAGACCAAACAATGCTGTTTTTTCTATCAGTCTTTTTCAATACCTTCGCTTTTCTCCCCTTATAGAGATCAGTCAGCCTCGGCTACTTATTATTTTTGTGAGGAGACCGAATCAGAAAGGTCCGCTTCGGCCCAAGACGGCTTGATAAAGGAATGGATGTACTACAGAGCTCTACGGCACAACGAGCGCGAGTTTCCCCTCAGAAACAAGCAGGTGAGGAGAGTTCATCTAAATAATGATCTCCCGGAGGTTGAACTGAAGCCAGTAACTAAATAAGTTGCTGAGTCATGCTGGGATAGATTACACAACGTGAACTTTATACACATCACCACCCAGATTTAGACTTTATACAGCCACATTCTTTCATTCAGCGTGTCTCATTATTTTAGCCCCAAAAACACAAAATATACTGATTTTATTGTTTTTAAAGCGATGTAATTCAGTCCAGTCTCATCAATAAATGCTGTGTGCTTTCTGTAATTTGTGTATGTTCTGTTTCTGTTTTCCAGGTGAAACAACGAGCAGAAGAGTGCGTTCTGGCTCTGGATAAACTCACGCAGATCAACTCAGGTGTTGCTGTTCAAAATGTTTTACGGACAGAGTTTGACTGGACAACGCTGGAGGTGATTGTTTTTGTAGCTTTGGGTTTTAAGGCAGTATTTCACCGAGCTACGACTATTGAAGACAAATTGCAAATGGCACTTGAGCGTAAGTTAGATGTTACAAGATGTTCCCGAGGGTGGAACCTTTCTTAAACTCTTCTTAATATAGTTTCTTGGGGTCCAAAAATGCAAGAAATGTGCAACATCTTTATTGAGAGATGGCAACCTATGAAACTAAATGATGACTGATTGGAGAAAACGATAAGAACCTGACATTACATGCACCATGGGGGTTGTTTGCTTTTTACTGCAGCAGCAGAGACCTGCTGCAGCTTTCATCAGCTCAGCCTGATCCTCATCCAGCAGCTTCTGCCACTTCTTCTGAGGTCCATGTTGTTAAATGTCTGATGGCAAGATGATTGCTGGACTGAGGAGCAGCTGTGAGGTCACATCCCTCAGTTGCAATGGTGGGCACAGCTAACCAAAAAGTTAGCTTTGCTAACACATATTCCGCTAACTAAAAAAAAAAAGATTTGCTAATGCTAAACAGGTAAAAAATAAATAAATAAATATATATATATATATATATATATATATAT